AGCTTACCATTAGACTATACTTGAACCAAAAACCAAAATGGACATCCTGAATGCTTGTAAAAATTTTATATAGTTGGACATTTCTTGGCGCATGTAAATTGCTCAGAAAAGATCATAAATTTGTTTCAATAGACAGTGAAAAATTGCCGTGGGGTTTTGAATGCAGATATGTGCGAAAGAGTGACCAGCCGTCCTGTTATGCCAATTTATCCATCTCAAAGGCAGGAAAGTTTACGAATCACAATCCTTAAACTCTTCATAAGAAATGAAAAATCAAATGACATTAATTCAGTAATAAAACTCTATTTACTCCATTAGTCTTCCAATTTCTAAAGCGGCTCTATTGTGAGAATAATGGCAAAATAGAAAGGCTGTGAAATTAGTAAAAACTCGCAAACAAAAGCTACGACGCTTTAAAATCTGAATTATAAAACGTATCACATAAGGAATTTAAGCACTTACAAACACCACTGGCTTTCTCCTCAGCTAAAAGACGCCGACAAAACAGCATCCCTTCAGGACGCTCGATAAAGTGTACCATAGCAACTGGCATGGCTGGACAGTGCTTTAGGCCAGTTTTCTCTAAACTCGGTCGACAGACTTTTTCAGTGGCTACATCGGGGTCAATTGGTCCTGCTTCGGTCGAATTCAAATCCTCGGTTTCCATTTTGTTATCAGAGATGCCAGAACTGAACGGCTCTAACGTCTGGAAAATAATAAATCAACAGGCAAATTCCCGGTCTAGTATAGTTCATTTCGAATAGTCATCACTAACACCTTTGTCATCAGACTTATCCTAGAATGAAATATAAGCTCATATCTTCACTATATTCGCAATAAAATGTAAAAGTGAATAAGTCTTGTTGCTCATTACTTTCCGCTACTACAATCGTCTCAAAGCGTATAGTACTATGCTGGCATGTTTGTCTCAGCATAAATAGGTCATATGTTCTACTTAAACTGTGAATAATTAGACCCAGGCAAATTTATAACGAAGAATGGTCGATCTCTTGGATAAATTGCATTTCTGTTTAATCCTGATTCGGAAACTATACATTCCTTAAACGCAAATAATTAATGGTGTATCCTCAGACCTAAGCGATAAAACTTAGATTACGAGATCGAAAATCTGTATTATCATATGAAATGCGAACACTAATTGCAACAATGTATTCTTCTATAGAAAAAACTAAAAACACCCCTAAGATAGTACAATGCACCATAGAATGGCCCATTTAAATATATCAAAAAGGGAGTATAATTCAGCTAAGGCAAAAATGGGATTGTTTGATAATTATAAATATTCCTAATGTTAATTCATAAATCTACGAATAGTGTTGATTTAAATAACAAATGTGGGTCTCCTTTACCGACACTCATTTACAATATAATTGTGAGGTTAAACGCCAGAGGGGACGCGAATGATAAATCAACTGAAGATACAGATATTATTTAATGAAAAGATTAGGTGAGATAGAAGCCACGAAAAAGAGTTTAAATCTATTCCTTCCAAAATCCAAATGTATAACTCAAATATCAGGATTTGAGACGACAAGGCAAGTTACGAAGTAAAATAAGATAGAAGAGGAGAGTTACTAACAAGTTTACGCTTTTTGATCATGATGAGCTCTGCCAGCTCAAGTGCACGTCGCCTTCGAAGTAGCTGCTTGTGCTTTCGTATGAGGTCTTTATGGGGAAGAGAGCCTGCATTATAAGAATCTTCGTAGGAGGTACTCGGCTTAAATTCAAGTGCCAAATAATCAGTAACTAGCCGCTCCAACACGGCCTGGCGCAGCACCCCCAACCGGGTTTCTTGTTCAGTTAAGACAGAGGGGTCAGGCCAAATAGTTCGTTGTTGTGACTTGTTAGTGGATATATCTGTAACAGTGACTTCAGTCACAGATTCTGACCGAGCAGTGTAGATTTTACGAATAAGATCTGGATTTAGGCTCGAAGGGAGGCTGTTGATGGTTTTTAAAGGGGATCAAATGAATAAAATGATAAATTTTAATAGATTAAAACGTGAAATTGTCATGATTGGATTAGGTATCGAATAATAAATGACGAGGCGCCGTAAAGAGTGACTAATTTGTACAACATCAATATCATAATGGATGAATAAAAAAGCAAAACATAAATAAATAAGATGGGATAAATAAAAA